AGAGAAGGTTTGAGAACAGCTGGGGTTGGGGGTCCCAGAGAGAGTTTGAAACAGCTGGGGCCCAAAAGGTAGGAGGGTTGGACCGCTGGGGGTCCCGAGGGAAGGTTTGGGGGACCGCTGGGGGGGTCCCGAGGAGGGGTTTTGGACCGCTGGGGGTCCGAGGGGGAGGTTTTGGACCGGCTGGGGTCCCAGAGAGAGGTTTGGACCGGCTGGGGATCCCGAGGAGAGGTTTGGACCGGCTGTGGGGTCCCAGAGGAGAGGTTTGGACCGGCTGGGTGTCCCGAGGAGAGGTTTGGACCGCTGTGGGTCCCCGAGGAGAGGTTTGGACGGCTGGGGGTCCCCGAGGAGGTTTGGACCGGCTGGGGGTCCCAGAGGAGAGGTTTTGGACCGGCTGGGGTCCCAGAGGAGAGGTTTGGACCGGCTGGGGGTCCCAGAGGAGAGGTTTGGACCGGCTGGGGGTCCCAGAGGAGAGGTTTGGACCGGCTGGGGGTCCCAGAGGAGAGGTTTGGACCGGCTGGGGGTCCCAGAGGAGAGGTTGGACCGGCTGGGGGTCCCAGAGGAGAGGTTTGGACCGGCTGGGGGTCCAGAGGAGAGGTTTGGACCGGCTGGGGGTCCCGAGGAGAGGTTTGGACCGGCTGGGGGTCCCAGAGGAGAGGTTTGGACGGCTGGGGATCCCAGAGAGGTTTGGACCGGCTGGGGGTCCAGAGGAGAGGTTTGGACCGGCTGGGGGTCCCAGAGGAGAGGTTTGGACCGGCTGGGGGTCCCAGAGGAGAGGTTTGGACGGCTGGGGGTCCCAGAGGAGAGGTTTGGAAACAGGCTGGGGGTCCCCAGAGGAGAGGTTTGGACCGGCTGGGGGATCCCAGAGGAGAGGTTTGGACCGGCTGGGGGTCCCCGAGGAGAGGTTTGGACCGGCTGGGGGTCCCAGAGGAGAGGTTTGGACCGGCTGGGGGTCCCAGAGGAGAGGTTTGGACCGGCTGGGGGTCCCAGAGGAGAGGTTGGACCGGCTGGGGGTCCCAGAGGAGAGGTTTGGACCGGCTGGGGGTCCCAGAGGAGAGGTTTGGACCGGCTGGGGGTCCCCGAGGAGAGGTTTGGACCGGCTGGGGGTCCCAGAGGAGAGGTTTGGACCGGCTGGGGGTCCCAGAGGAGAACGAATGCATTTTCTGGTGAGAATCTAGCCTCAATCGCAGAACTTCCTAGCCTGGGTACCAGTCTGTTTGTGCTAACATTCCTGTGGAAGCGGTTAGCTGGAGCCGTGTCAGCGGTTGGTGGTTGGCTTCTGATTGGTTCTGGTTCTCCCCACTGTAGGGTTGTCTGCTTAGAACTTGACGTTGAGGCCCTTAACTGTGCAATCCAAGGGTCCTGATTGGTTTGAAAAGGTTGAGAGGTCCAGCCTTTTTTTTTTTTTTTTTTTTTACAATTCCACTCCTTGCAACTCCTTGTCATGGCAAACATATAACATGGAGTAGGTTTGGATTTCAGGCTAACATTCTGCATTGAAGGCTGATCCACCCATCTTTACACATCTCTAGAGAGAGAAGCCAGTCAGAGTTGGTTGCAGATAATGATTAGTTGTAGTGCAGATACTCTTTCCATTTGGCTTTTAAACCTTGTCTGTTTCAGCTAATCCAGCATTCTCAGTACCCCATTAAAGACTGCCCTTTATTGCTCTGGCCGAACAACTACAGCCTTCTGCAGACATCTTAAAGAGTCATTCATGCTTCATAACAAGTTATAAAGCAGGACACCTGCAAGGTTAAGTAAAGTGTCACCTCATGTCTTTCTCTTTGTCACACGATGTGATCCTGATGAAACTAGTACCTGTATTGAATAATACATTCGTGAATTTGAGCCAATCTATGTTTTGTTCTACCTTTTGATGGATTCGATGCTATGAAAGATGAGTATTCTTAATCCTTTTCTCATTGGTTGCGTCATAAATGGCACACTGTTTTTACCCAGAACCCTACAGGCCCTCTACAGTCTGCATCCCAGGGCTGATGGGGTTAACCTGAGCTGGAGTCAGAATCACCAACATGCAGTACAGTTTAGTAACAGCCGGTGACAGTAAAGTACATCATGTGATTTAATCTATGATCAAAGTCAGTGGTGGGAAAAAAATAACCAAATGTCCATACTTGAAAAAGTACTCAGATGTCATACTTGAGTAAAAGTAAAGATACCTTTAAAATAGAAAAATGACTAAAGTAAAAGTGAAAGTCACCCAGTAATAATTATGAAAAAATTTTAAAAAGGGGGCCCCCCGGGGGTTTTTCCCCGGGGGGCCAAAAAAAAATTTTTTTTAAAAATTCCCCCCCCTTTTTTTTTCCCTTTTTTTAAAAAAAGGGGGGTTTTTTTTTTTCCCGGGGGGGGGGGGTTTTTTTTTTTCCCCCCCTTTTTTTTTTCCCCCCTTGGGGGGGTTTTTGGGGGGTTTTTTAAAAAGGGAATTTTTCCCCCTTTTTTTTTTTTTTTTTTTCCCTTTTAAAACCCCCCCGGGGGGAAAAAATAAAAGGGGTTTTAAAAAAAAATTTTCTTGGAAAAAATTTTTTTTTAAAAAAAAAAGGGGGGGGGGGGGAAAAAAAAAAAATTTTTTTTTTAAAAATATTTTTTTTTTTTAAAATTTCCTTTAAAAATTTTTTTTTAAAAAAAAAAAAAAATTTTAAAATTTTTTTTTTCCCTTTTTTTAAAACAAAAACCCTTTTTTTTTTAAATTTTTAAAAAAAAAGGGGGGAAAAAAAATTTTTTTTTTCCCAAAATGTGTTTTTTTAAACCCCCCCGGGGGGGGTTTTAAAAACCTTTTTTTTTTTTTTTTCCCCCCTGTTAAAGGGGTTTTTTTTTTGGGGGGGGGGGAAAAAAAAAACCCCCCCCGGAAAAAAAAATTAAAGGGGGGGGGGGTTTCCCCCGGGGGGGGGAAAAAATTTGGGGGGGAAAGGGGGGGGAAAAAGTTTTTTTAAAAAAAAAGGGGGGGGGAAAAAAAAATTTAAAAAAAAAAAAAAAAAAAAAAAGGGGGGGGGAAAAAAAAAAACCCCCAAAAAAGGGAAAAAAAAGGGGGGGAAAGGGGGGGAAAAAAAATTTAAAAAAAAAGGGGGGTTTTAAAAAAATTTTTTTTTTAAAAAATTTTTGGGGGAAAAAAGGGGGAAAAAAATTTTTTAAAAAAATTTTTGGGGAAAAAAAA